CTCAGCTAGCAAATAAACAGGCTGCTTCAAACATTCATACAACAATTGCTGTCAAAGTATAGTAATACTACTGATGTCTTTTATAATTTTATATATTCATGTTTTAATATATTTCACATATTCTTAACTGAGTAATGAAGACAGGGACTGTCTGAAATAGATTGTGTTATATTACAATATTATATTATCCTGCAATGTATTATGATCATTATTATTGTCGTTGTTGTTGATATTATCATGAATAATAATAATCTTTATTGTTATTATTATTGTTAATAATAATGATAATAATCATCTTTATTTATTTCTATAGTAAAATATATAAGAAATACATATACATTTTAAGGAATGAATAGTATTTCAAAAAGAGGATCAACAGAAGCACCAAAATCGTTACATAAGAATAGTTTACATAAGAAAAAGAAAAAAAAATCACTGTCCATCCAATAGCTACGGGATAAACAGTTATTATGTGAAACCATGTGTAGCCCTGGCTTTGGTCCTTATCACTGCTTCATTGCACTGAGGAAGATTTTCAAGACTTGATTGGCTGAAAGCTGGACTATTGTCGTAAATTCCGCCTTTAAATTTACCTGGATGGGCTATACTGACTTTGTCTTCATTCTTTTTTACAATCGGCTAGCTCAGCGATTGGCAACCCATGGATCACGACCCAAATTTAGGTCGCGGCAAGTTCTGAAAGGCAGAGTTGGAAATGCATTTTAAAACCAGCAAGGTCCTATGCTGATCCACGGCCAGATTTTTCAGCCCCAGTCATACAATTAACCCATATAAACGGGTCCTGGGTCTGCAAATGCTTACCGCCAAATTAGCGGACACTCAACCAATCCAAGAAGCCAAACCACAGACGCTTAAATTAAAATCCACTGGAACATCCAATCAGATTTACTGTATGCGATAGGCATGATTGATTGGCGCAAATTGCAGAGTGCACTGCGCGCTTAATCATAGCGTTAATTTAAACCTATTCCCGATACGGGGTCGGGACTGAGCTGGCATGGTAAGAACTGGGTCGCGGTTCAAAAATGTTGAGAACATACCTCATCTGAAAAGGCAACGCACAGCGCTTCGTTTCAAATAAAAATTATGAAGTTTTATTGCCATCTACTGGCCGGCATGAAGCATCAGCGTTTCCTCAGACGGCCTCCTCTCATCCGGGGGTGACGCTAAAAACGCAAAATTTTATTGGAAACTGGTGTGGTAATAGCATATTTATATATTCCCGGTATGGGGAATATATTTGTTTTTAGGACCAGTCCACCACCTCTGCCACCACAGACCCTTTCTCATTAGAGCAATAATTTTAAAAGTATTTGAAAAGTCTCTTCCAATAGGAAGAGACTCAATCACCCCAGAATTGAAGCAGCGCAACTTAGTGACAGCTAAGGGAATGGTGAAAGCAAACAACATTTGACTTTGTGAGTGCAATATGTGAAAAAGGATTTGATGGATCTTTTGCCTGCTTCACATAAATATTATATGGATGAAGATCTACACCTGATTTGATTCTGAGAGAAATTGCCCCAAGATTAAAGCAGCAAGGGAAGGAAAGGGGAGCTGTAGAAGACACTTGATCTTGTGAACACACTAACTCTAAAAGTATCTGAGGGATCTTTGTGGACACATTGTCTTGGTGACGATCTGGAAATGTTCAAATTTTGAGACAAATTGCACCAAAACTGAAGTGAGCAAAGAGAAAGACAGCCTAAGGCATTTGATATTTTTACTGCAATTCATCAATGCATTTTGGTGGATCTTTTTCAAACTTGCAGACACATTCTGTGGGTGAAAATCTAGAACTTATTTTTTGAGACAAACATCAAAATATCATAATTGAAGCAGCGGCACATAATGATATCAAAGAACAGGGCAACATCAGACACTTATCCTGTTAACACAATAACTCAAAAAGTATGTAAAAAAACACACCTACTCAACCTGGTAATTGGCTGGTGAGCTGAATAAGGTGTGTTTGAGCAGGAAAGTCGGCAAATTGCGTTGCAGACGGGTCATCCAGGACCATGATTGCAATGCCAGAAAAAAGGTACAGTTTTGTTCCCTAAGGTGCAAACAACATTAATGTACCCCCAATGTCACAAAATGTTCCTCAGAGTCAATTTCTGTACCTTAAAAGGTACATTTACCTACAGCTAGGGTACAATTGGCAGACCCACAATTTTACCATTCTGACAGCTTCTAGTCCTGGGCTTTAGGGCCCCCCATGATAAATTCTGGCAGCCCATCGCACTGGGAAAATGGCTGGGGTGCCAGACGGCCAGTCCAGCCCTGGTGATTAAGTGCATGAAACCTGCTCTTTATCCAAAAGGCACTTTGGTATCCTTTGGGTAAGTGGTTATTCTGAATTTTAGGGGGAAAAACAGAAAAACAAGCCTAATATGCATATAATAGACTTCATATTATACAAGTATAAACAGCGATAATATTCGACTGACAGTGATATTATTTTGGGTACAGCCTTAAATTAAAATATGTCTACAGAGGGACTTAAGGACTGTTCCTGCTCTCATGGATAATTAACAGCTAATAATGTCCACAGCACAATTCACTACCACCTTCCACATTAAGGATGATGTGTATTACACGCTGAAAAGAGCTGTACTACAAACATGGAATTTGCTATCTTTGAATCACTTATTTTCCTTTTCAGCAATATAATCACAGCTGTACTGCCTTGGACAGTTGCTGGGTGGCGCTCTTTGATGATCTTGAAGCATCAGCCATTTATTAACTGAATTTAATAATCTTTTTTTCTTTCGGTTTTATAAACTGATTTTCAATACCAATGGACTGACTGATGCGTTTGTCTATGTAATTCCCACATGGTCACAGCAAAATTATTTTTTACCAGAGGATTACAGTCCCCAATAGTTTAAAAGAAAAAAATGTATAAATCTAATCCCTTGCCGTTCACAGAATTTTCGCTAGTTCGCGCGCTTACATATTGGGTGTATCGCCGCATATTCGGGGTATGAATCTTTATTTTTATGCCTGAAGTGGACTGGTTTGGTCACTTGGTGTCGCACTTGTTTCTATTTGTTGCTTTATTACACAAACTACATTTGTCAAAGTTTCATTGTGTTATAAAGTAACACAAATACTAAAATCTAATGATACGACTTTTCACAGCGCACATACATAAAATGACCATTCAGATTCTGCAAATCACCTAAATAACTTTGAAAGACAAAGGTAAAATTTTATGACTTCAGTATCCAAAGCTAATTAAAAGTCATTTATATATTTTCATGGAGTCTGTACCTAGGCCTACATATCTAGGCGCTGAAATCACATGTTCTCCAGGATCCGGTGCACGAATGATACACAAAATGGGTGATTTCCCCTTGCAGAGCCGACATCTGGGGACAAAGAGCAACTAGCTCTCAGTAACAGATCACTCAGCTTAATAAGTAACTGCAGGTCTGGCCTTGTGTCTAATGCTCATGGGATCTGGCCCCCATGACCCTGAACAGAACAAGCAAGTACAGAAGATGGATGGATGTTTGGATGGAAATGAAACATCCTTTAATCCTTCACTAACCTTATTGCAAACTTCACATTTTATTGTTACATGTATTCCAAGGAGCACAGTGAAATGCTGGGGCCACCGTTGTATGGAAGGGGACAGATGCAGGGGGTGAGGGTGGGGGGGGGGGGCATACCTCTGCTCTTACACCTGTGAACATATTTCCCGAATAACATTTATTAGACAAAAACATGGTTTTTAAAAATATGTCGGTAACAACTCCGATACTGTCGGTTTCGGTATGTCTTTTACGGAAGCTTAGTTTCCAAACCTTTGGAGCTCTCTTAATTTCAGTAGGGACTCCGCTATAGCTAACTGGCTAATTCTGCTTAGAACCACTGAGTTCACAGTATACCATATATTAATGATATACGTTGCATTTCTTTATATACAGTGGACCCTCGAGTTACGACCGGCCTGAACTACGAATAAATTGGGCAAAATTTTAGTTTTGACTTACGACCAAAGTCTTGAGTTACGACCCGAATGCACCTGTCCGCTTGTGTGGCTGTAAACAAAGAGCCGAGATGCCCGAGAGGCGTCAGTATAAGCGTCAGTCTGAGCCCAGATACGCCTGTTTGTGGACGTAGTTTCGGTCAGTGCAGTGCTTTATATAATTAATTTCGCTAATTGCTATCAGAAGGGCCCCAAAAAAAGCTAGAAACGAAGCTAAGGAAGCTAAGAAAGCAATGACAACCGAAAAGAACAAGGAAATTGTGCAGAAATATGAGTGGCATTCCTGTGATTGATCTCGCTAATATGTACAGCAGTTCGAAATCCACCATCTCGACAATCTTACAAAGAAAATATTTATTTAATGAAGCTAGTGTTGCTAAAGGTGTTACTCAAATCAGTAAGTCACGATCAACAGAGTTAGACGAGGTAGAAAATCCTATTATTAGTGTGGGTAAACGAAATGCAGATGGCAGCCTATATATCTGAGTCTATAATTTGTGAAAAAGCTCAGGCTATAAATGTAGACCTCGTAGTTTCTGGTAAATTACGCACATTATAGAACCTTTTTTTTTATTATGGAGGGGTTAGGTATAAGGGGTGCTTTGGGAGGTTCGGAAGGCATTATGAGTATTTCCATTATTTCTTATGGGAAAAAATGGTCTTGACTTGCGACCCACTTGAGTTACGACCAGCCCTCGCGAACGTGTGATTGTTGTGAGCATTACACGGATATTGAACGCCTGTTTAAATACATGCGAAAAGCTTAATAGTAAATAATTGAGTGGAATTGACGGAGGGCATGCAAAAGTGGAATGAATACTGTGTGGATGTTCAATGGATTCCAGCTCTCGACACCGATCAACATCTTCCCGATCAAAACTTTTAATGCGCTGTTTACTTCAGCTACGAAGTCCATCCCACTTGGCAAAGAAGGACGTACATAAACAATATAGTAGGCGTTATATATGAAAAAACAAACCTGTATCTCCTTTATGTTCTCCATGGGGGCAGCGGTCTGGATAAGTCTAGTTCTCGTGTTAGATTTTGCTGCGCGTGAGCTGACGTCCTTACTGTCACTTTGTTGGCTTAGATGATTAAATGCGTGACTTGCCCCTTTATCTGTCATGTCACCGCCATTGTGCAAATCCATTATGGGTATTTCTTCAAAAATCAATGCAAAATGAAAAATAACGTGGCCAGTTTGAGGTAGCGATCTAACTAATCTGAACCATCTAAAGCTTGCACCTCGAGCTTCCCCTCCAGGCACTTGTTGATCCTGGGTAACCATGGATACGCCGCCGTGGTCCCTTAAAAGCGCGTGAGGTCCCACGCTTTCGGACATAAATTATCCTATTGTCGTTCGTGTTTTCCTTGACATAATTTACATACAGATGAAAGCGGCTAAATGTAAGGTATAAGGTAGTCACAGGCGATTGATTACCTCCTGTATCAGGGATTATTTGTTTGTTTGTCCATATACTGTAGATATATTTTCATTTGAACCGCGGATGATGTTTAGGCTACTCGAATCCATTATAGGCCTAGCGTAGTAACAAAATTAAAAGGTGATATGAAGGAGTTCCATCGTTAGCTTTTATTTAAATTTTCTCCTTAATCAATAATACTCAACACATTTTATTAAAGCAAAGATATGGAAAGGTCTGTATTTAAAATCAGAAAAAGGGGTTTGTAACTTAAAACTAAAAACTTTTAAGACTACAAATGCAAGAACGTCGCTTGGATATACAGCTGACAAGAGAACAACATGGAATATACGCAGATGCCGTTAATTTGTGTATTCAAATGAGAAAAATCTCTTGGGGCTTAAAACACAAAAATAAGTATGTGAAAATGTATATGTAGTACTTTTGGAAAGAACGTTTTTAGAAGCAAAACCATTTGATGAAGTTTTGAAGCAGCATTGAGGAAACATAATTTGACAGATGGTATGTTGCTGGGTCTCCTTAGACTAAAAATAAATATATTATTAGGCGCAATATTAAAATATAATGTATGTCAAACAAACTTTTAATGTATGTTACACATTGCTTTGGAACAGCGCGTTCACTCTTCACTGCAGACCTGGCCGGAGGATGTCACGGGTCCTTTGAAAAGCATTCACTTATACATACAATGAGAAATAACAGGAATGAATCTCCCACTACTAGAGGTACGAAGCCTGATTGCTACCCTCTGAACCATCCGCTGCACATTATTCAAATTTTGAAACAAACTTCAATTTGGACAATGAACACCATTATTTCTAAAACACCGTAATTACGTAGCATTAGCAGGATTGATATACTTCAGTATCAAGTTTGTATCATGAAACACCAGGTCTGTAGTTTTAGAATAGGATCTTTAAGAGATTACTACAGTTACTTTGATTAAAAAACATAAACTGGAGTTTGTTCTGCATGATAACCTTCTATAAAGCATGATTTTTGGTATTATAATTTTGTTTGGCATGTTTGTAATGTTGCTTTGTAAGTTAAATGGCTGCAAGTGTTGCTTCCGGTTTGTTAGAGTCCCTCCGAAGTTTTTTTATTGGTATTTGGAAAAGTAAGAATGAACATAAACGTTATTATTTACTGCAGACATTGTCTTCCAAAATATAACCATTTAGCAAAGCTCAATACATGTTATACATTTCTATTAATGGTTCACACTTTGTAAACACAATAAAAAGTATGTGTTAAAAATGATATAAATGTGCAGTTATTTAGAAATGCTTGTTTTATCAGTGGGGAAAATACAATTTTGAAAATCATGCAACAGTAAATTACAATAAGTTTTTTTTAACATTGTTATTAATCGAAGACTGTGACTTTAAAACACAAAACAAAACTGATGAGAGACAATGTTCTGTTCACAGGGGCGGTATTTACAGAAAGGCAGCCGTCCTTGTCTTTCATGTAATCTGCACCTGTTGTTGTTGCAACTAGGATAAAGACGGATCAGATAGATGGCTTTATAGGTGTAACACGTTATAGGGCAAGATAAACTAGAGATTTGGTGCAATTTCAATCAGTACTCTATTAAGTCTGTGTGGGGTCATACCATCACACACCATGTAGTAAAGGCACATGCTTCAGTGCACAGCTTAAAATGAAAGTGTGTCATTGTTAATGATTTCAAGGGAGAGGGGGTAAATAATTAGGTAAATATTTTAAATCAAGGACTGCCAGTTCCAGAACAGAGAACATATACAAAGGCCCAACAGATAATAATCTTTGGAATAATGCATCTTACCAAACAGACCAGAAGCTACGGCGAGTGAGAAATTACCCTGTAAATCACCACAGTCTGAAAACAAGGGAAGATACAGAGTCATAGACAGTGTTGGGGTCAGATTCAACACCCTGATACTAGCATTTATTTAATTAGGTTTTCATTACCATGATTACTAATCAGATATAGCCTATAACGCCTATAATAAAAGATAAACGTATTAACCAAGTGTGGTGCAAGACAGAATTTAAGGTCAAGAATTGTTATTTAATGCGTTTACAGATTTTCTTAGTGAAAATGATATAGAAAATACGCATGATCTCAATGGTATTTTTATAATATATATACCAGTTGTTCGTCTTCCCTCCTTTGCAGCGCGCTTATTATTAAGCACTTTTCTGCTCGGTGGTGCTGCTGCAGGGATCTCCAGCCCCTTCACTCATGATCTTCATCGACCTGCTCACTAGCGCCGCCGGACGGACGCTGGGTAAAACGTATTTTCCAAGATGGAGGATGTTCTTCGCCTTAACCACGGAGCGGTGACTTTGCGTGTCGCTATATAGGCGATCCAGCAAAGGGCTGTCTTTTCCCCCGTGCATAACGCCAGCTTTCAGTCCTTTTGGGATTTACATTCAGCGCCTGATTGCGAGCCATGAGCTCCGGGGAGGGAGCGGATGAGACGGCGAAGGACGCGGCCGATATAGCGGCGTTTTTCAAGTCCGGTAAGGCGACTGGGAGAGACGTGCGCGGCTCCTGAGGCAGGAGCGACACCCCGTATATAAATGCGGGGGGACATTGTTACAAGAGGGGATTAACAAAAGGGGATGCCGAGGGGAAGAGATGGGACATGCACTCGATAGTGTGTCCCGTGCCCAGCTCGCTTAGTATGTTTATTTAAACATTATCTTAAATGAAAATGGCAGCAAAATTTAGATCAGGTAACCTTTACTGGTTAATTTGTATCATCCGCACTGTCAACAACAGGGGCTGGAGCGATGCATGCAGGATCGGTCCGTAACATGCAGCAAAGGGGGAGGCTTTACATGCATACTGCATACAGGCTGAATCGTTGAATATTGCAAATATAACTGCACCATCTTGCTTTTGGAGAAAATGTATTATTTTAAATGTAATTCTATGTCTGCATGATGGTATTGCCAGAGGACCATGCGCTATCTAGCTTGATGCTCTCAGTATGATGTTCCAGCTAATAATATAATAAAGCTATTTTAGGATCAGCATTAGGGTCCAGCAGCTTGTTATTACGCTTTTAAGGGTTAGTGTTTTATTATAACGTATGAGGGATTAGTGCATTTTCGAAAGTATTTGCAGAGAACATGGGCCACATATGGGATGCGATGCCCGCCTAGTGTTATTGTGCTTTTCGATCCATCTATGGTGCGTAAATGGCCCGGAGCCGGTGTCCGGGTGCTGCGTCCTCGGCCGCGGGGGTCCGCAGGTCGCCTCCCGGCATTGTGTCTGCTGGGAGGCGGGGTTGTTGTAAACGTAACCTGAAAACGAGCTTTGGGGAGGAATCTCGCCTCTTATCCGCCTTTGATGGACTGACAGCCCGGCGTGTATTTCCTGGACCTTTGAGTCACGTTATTGGGAGTCGTTCCTGGACTTACAGGGTCTGAATAGCCATCGTCACTTTGAAATATAAGAATGGAAAATAGAGTGATGATGCATTATTTTCGGAGGAAAGCTGTATTGTACGTATCGAAAATACTGGGGATGCTACCTTTCTGTGTATTATAAATGAATTACCTCGGAGAGCTACTGCTTTTGCAAAGGTCTTGCGTGCAGGTTAAAGTTGGGACAGTTTTTTTGCCTTTATCTGAGGGTCTGGCAGTATTCAATGACAGTGTTCTTGTGGTCTATTGTCATTTGTACAATAAAATATTTGCAGGAATACCTCCCTGCAGAGTTAACAAATACTGATGATGAACAGTAAGCAGCAAATAACAAGAGTGAGAACGTCTGGGATACTGATGTTAGCTAGCGGGATGTTTTTTCTCTCCCTCAATCCTGCCGCCCTGTCCTCGCTTCGGCTAGCAGGAAGTGCCGTCGCCGTGGCGAATCATGTCCCCCGACCTGCGTAGTCATGGCACCCTTCATCCGGAGCCGGACGGGACCGGCTGAGGTGAAATGCCCGTCCCCCGGGAGGATGTGTAGGCTGCGGGGGCTGCGGGGGCCACCAGGGCTCCCCCACCCTTCGCCACCGCGCACATCATCCTCGCTGCTTGGGATGTGGCTGCGTGGTGCAGCATGTAACACAAGATTACAGTTTCAGACGCTTCGGTTTAAAGCATCCAGTGCTGCATATGTGCGAGATAAGGGCGCGTTTTAACCCGTGTGATAGTTTTACGTAGCTCATGAAAATCATGACGGTCATTTAGTGCATATTAAAATTATACCGTCAATTTTTATATACCTATGAAAATTATTGGGTAAATTTTGATATGCAGTACCAGGAATATCAGCCTACTCGTATACCGCAGGTTTTTTATTGATTTCGTAGTTCAGAAATTGATCCTATTTGGTGTGTGCCTCTTGGATATTGTGTATCGTTAAGATGTTTCTTTTTCGGATGTACATCTGACTTGAAATTCATTGACAGTCCCATTCATGCTTATTTTTCCACATCATCTGAATATTAAATGCTAATAATATTAGCTTTAACTCCAATATACATAACTAAAAATGCTAAGCCTGCCTGTTTATGCACGAACGGTTTGTTTCCCTGTTCTGTAGCTAATGGTCTTTATATGTACTTGCCCTGTTGCGGTAAGTATTAACACTCTTCTCTAACAGCTCTGAATGCCTCTTCCCTTCAAAGCCATCTTCTTCAATCACTCCTCCGTAACTTCAGTCCAGGAGAACATCAGTGTCATTAGCAGCCCAAGGCAGGAGAGCCAGCTTGTTGTCGTAGGACATGTTTAAAGCGCGTCGATTCAGATCAGGCCTCGGAATAGATTTTATCTTGAAGGTATCTTTGGTGTTCAAAGAGCAGAGAGCCGCTGATCTGGGGCA